CATCACCATTATAGGTGGTGGAGACACTGCCACTTGCTGTGCCAAATGGAACACGGAGGATAAAGTTAGTCATGTGAGCACTGGCGGTGGTGCTAGCCTGGAGCTTCTGGAAGGTAAAGTCCTTCCTGGGGTGGATGCTCTCAGCAGTGTTTAGTGTTTGCCTGCATTTTGGTTCATGTGCATGGTTCTAAGTCAATATGATGCTGTCCTAGATCTAAAGTCTTCCACCATGTCAAGATTCAGCTAGTGGACAAGCAGTGAAGCACCAAGAATGCTTAAACAGGTTAATAACATGTCAGCTCATCTCTGTTGCACTGTGATTGTTCCTATATTCTTCAAGATCTTATTTGAATTTTTTAGTAGCTAACCCATTGCACATTCTAGTGTGTATATTTTATTTGTTAAAGAAAATGAGATATGCTAGTTTCGTTTTCTTACTCTGATTACCTTTGTCACTATTTCAGTATTCACATGGAAAGAGAATAAAATTCCGCTTTTAGGTAGTTATGCAAACAAAATTGATTGATCAATTAAATAATAAAATATCCATCTAAACTAAAAAAAAAAGTGGCTGGAACAGTACATAGAAAAGGAACTGCCAGAAGTTTAAGCAGGATTTAGAAGATGTGGTGGAACCAGCTATATCATTCCTGATGTCAGATGGATCCTGGTTGAAAGTAAGGAATACTAGAAAAATGTTTATTTTTGATTTATTGATTATGCAAAGGCATTTGACTGTGTGGATCATGACAAGTTGTGGCTGACATTGAGAAGAATGGGAATCCCAGAGCACTTGATTGTGCTCATGTGGAATCTACACCTGGACCAGGAGGCTGTTGTGTGAACAGAGCAGGGGAGCACTACACGGTTTGGAATTGGGAAAGGCTTGTGTCAAGGTTGTATTCTCTCTCCATATTTATTCAGTCTGTATGCTGAGCAAATTCTCTGAGAAGCTGGGCTCTATGAGGAGGAGTATGACATCACAATTGTAGGGAGACTCATCAGTAACCTGTGTTACGCAGATGACACAACCTTGCTTGTTGAAAGTGAGGAAGACTTGAAGCACTTGTCGCAGAAGATCAAGGAATGCAGCCTTAAATATGGATTGTTGTCAACAGCTTCATCTTGCTTGGATCCATAATTAACACCCTTGGTACCAGCAATTAGGAAATATAGTATTGCACTGGGAAGCTCTGCAGTTAGGGACCTTTCCAAATTATTGAGGTGTAGTGATGCTAGTTTGAAGACTAAGGTGCATCTGATTCATGCTATAGTCTTTCCAATTACTAGGTATGCATCTGAGAACTGGACAGTGAGTAATGATGACAGTAAAAGAATTGACATCTTTGAGCTGTCATGTGGGAGAAGAGCACTGAATATCCCATAGATGGCCAAAAGAACAAACAGATATGTATTGGAGAAGGTGCAGCCAGAGTGCTCTTTGGAGGCAAGAATGATGAGAATTTGCCTCACAACATTGACATCTTAGGAGGGGATATACCTTTGAGAAGGTCATGCTGTTGGGAATGGTGGAATGTTGGCAAATGAGAAAAGGACCCTTAACCAGGTAGATTGATATGGTGACTGCTACAATGGGCTCTGGTGTGTTAGGAAGTATGAGGATGGCACAGGATAGAACAGAGTTCAGATCTTTTTTTGTTCATAGGGTTGCTATGAGTCGTGCTCGACTTGATGGCACACAACAACATAGATTTTGCCTCGAATTACTTAAAGTGTCATTTCCTTCCACTCATTAAAACACTCTTGCCTTCCATACTTTCTCATCTTTGAGCAAAAATCTGCAGATTACAGACAATGACTACAAGAGCAACTCCTGAAAGTAGAACAGAAATATGGAGCATGGAGTTGGCATGTAGGCGTGATGGAGAAATGACACAAGGTATTGCTATAATTTGGAAGGCACAAATGTCTTGCATGTGGCTGATAACCAAAAGATTGGTCCTAGTGTGACATCAGAGAAGAATAGGCCTGATGATCTGGTTCCATAATGACAAAATTGAAACCAAAGCCACTGCCCTCAAATTGATTATGACTCATAGTGAATCTCCATTGAGTTTTAGGAATGGTAAATCTTTATGACAGGAAATTGCACATTTTTCTCCAAAGAGGAACTAGTGGATTCAAACACCTGAATTTAAGTTAACAGCACAATACGTACTACACTGCTTCAAAAGAGCTTCTTAAAGAAACTCAAACTCATTGCCGTCTAGTTGCAACCAACTCATAGCAGACTCTCCAGTAGATATCGGAGGCTGTAAATTGGATGTGCACAGATTATCTCTCTTTTCCCCTTGGAATTTACTGATGGACAGAATAGCTAAAAAGGCATTCTGAAAATCCACTGAAGCATGAGCTATGAGATGGTTCAGACTTGATGGTACCAACAGCAACAACATATGTAAAGGTTTATGGAATTTTGTAGTTGGCAAAAGTATAACTCATGTATTATTTGTGTAAATATACAGCATCTTGGCCTCTTTCTTTGTTCATGTTTGCTATCTTTTACAACTATTCATGAGTTCCAGTATATAAAGTTTGCACTCTGTCTTGTTTCACTATAAAATTTGATATAATTTAGGAATTATGTTTGCATTTAGATTTTAGGTTATCCATCTTTTTTAATCCACATGATTTTTCTATTTATTATCAGTGTCTGAGACCAGCAAAGATTCAAAACATTATCTTTTTCTTAAATTTGACATAACGGATTCTAATGTATTATGTAATTAAATTGTGTTAGTGTGTTAAAACCCTTAACACTGGACCAATAGGCAACATCATGATAGATGGAGAAAAGCCTGAAGTTGTCAATGGTTTCATAATACGTGATTCCACAATCAATACCTTGGTATAGGCAGTCAAGAAATCAAGAAGTGGAAAAAATAAAAGAAATAAAAAAGTGAGTCACATTGGGAAAATTTGCTGCCAGGAATCTCTCCAGAGGGCCAAAGAACAATGATGTCAGTATGAAGACTAAGACTTCTCTGATACAAGATAAGGTCTTCTCAGTTACTTGGTATTCACCTGAAAGTTCCACAAAGACTAAGGATGACAAAAGAATCAATGCCTTCGAATTGTGGTGTTTGAGAAGAGTGTTGAGTATCACATGGATTGCCAAGAGAACAGGCAGGTCTATCTTGGAGAAAGTGAAACCAGGGTGCCGCTTGGAGGCAAGTTTTGTGTAACTTCATTCCACATACTTTGGACATGTTATTAGGAGTGACATTATGCTTGCAAAGGTGGGAGTCAGCATAAGACATGAAGACTCTAAACAAGATAGCTTGACTGGGTGGCTATACCAGTGGGTTCAAGTATGTTGAAAATAGTGAGGACGGCACAGGATAGGTCAGGGTTCAGATCCATTATTCATATGGTCACTATGAGTAGTAGTAGACATGACGGCACACAACAACAACAAAAACATTGTATTGCATAAGTGAATGGTCTGGGGATTTTTTTGCCCCACCCCCTCTGATTATAAGCCTAATATTTGTCCACTTTCTAAAAAGTTTCTAGACTTTTTCTGAACTCATGAAGTTAATTGAACTTTGACAGAACGGTAGGTAGGACCTTCTTAAGATATGCATTTGCATCACTCCATAAGTGATGACCAGAGCAAGTTTATGAAACCTGAAGCTTAAACAAACTTGTAATCTTTTCCTTTGAGTAAAGTTGTGATGGGAAACGTGAGGGTATATAAAGATGGTACCAAAGTAACCAAACTATGAACATAATCAGTGTCACTGAATTGTACATATAAAAACTTCTGAATTGGCAAATGTGTTGTTACGTGTGTGTGTGTGTGTGTGTGTGTGTGTGTATACAGAGCAAGGGAACTCTACATGATATACAATTAGGAAAGGCACGTGGCAGTGTTGTATTCTTGCTTCATAACTATTTAATCTGTATACTGAGCAAATTATTTAAGAAGCTGGGCTCTATAGAGAAGAATGTGGATTGGAAGGAGACTCATCAATAACATGTGTGATGCAGATGACAAAACCTTGCTTACTGAAAGTATGGAAGACTTGAAGGACTTGTTGCAGAAGATCAAAGAATACAGCCTTCAGTATGGATTGCATCTCATTGTCAAGGAAATAAAAATTCTCACAGCTGGACCACTGACGACATTATGATTGATGGAGAAAGGATTGAAAATGTCAATGACCTCATTTTGCTTAGATCCATGATCAATACACTAGGTACTAGCAATCAGGAGATAAGGAGACATATTGCACTGGGCAAGTCTGCAGTCAGGGAATGCTCCAAATTATTGAGGAGCAATGCTGTTTGTTGGAGGACTAAAGTGTGCCTGATTCAGATCATAGGCTTTTCAATCACTTACTATGCATTTGAGATCTGGACAATGAATAAGGATGACAGAAGAAGAATTGATGCCTTTGAACTGTGGTGTTGGAGGAGAGTACTGAGTATTCCATGGACTGCCAAAAGATCAAATAACAATATCTTGGAGAATGTGTTGCCAGAGTGCTCCTTGGAGGGAAAGATTATTAAGCTTCATCTTTCATACTTTGGACATGTTGCTAGGAGAAGCTATTCCTTGGAGAAGGCCATCATGCTTGGCATGCTATTTGAATCCATTAGCTACTTGCAGGAGGAGGATGGGCAATCTCCTTCTGTATGATTTACTGTCTATAAAAACCCTCTGGAGGGTCAGTTATGAGTTGGTTCTGTCTTGATAGCTCACAGCAACAAACTATATGTTTGTTATATCAATATTTCAGTCACTATCTTCTGCTTTATTTTGTTTTCATATCAGTTATTACTAGTAGAAATTGTATTTTCACATGCTTATTTGTTTATTTTCTGTTTTGTCTGTTTGCCACCATGAAGATGGGGACTTGGTGAGCCTATGCATTATCATGTGCACAGTGCCTAAAAGAGCACCAGACAACTAGTAAGTATTTACTAAATGAACGAAAAGGTAAGTAAATGAAAGAACAGTGCCTATACACTGGAAAAATATAGAGAAGAAATAAAACTGTTTTGAAGGGAGAACTGGGTAGGAAAAGTACAGAAAATGGATTAAAATGAAATAATTTTAAAAATTTTATTGCTGTGTATCTCAAGCTAGGCTGTGTGGTATTTTCTGTATTTAAATGCATCAAAAGC